CCCTGGGGCTATGATAGAGCCGGGCAACACTGGGCGACTGAGCAGAGCCTGAAGGGCTACAGTCCCTGGGGCTGTGATAGAGCCGGGCAGCACTGGGCGACTGAGCAGAGCCTGAAGGGCTACAGTCCCTGGGGCTGTGATAGAGCCGGGCAGCACTGGGTGACTGAGCAGAGCCTGAAGGGCTACAGTCCCTGGGGCTGTGATAGAGTCGGGCAACACTGGGCGACTGAGCAGAGCCTGAAGGGCTCCAGTCCCTGGGGCTATGATAGAGTCGGGCAACACTGGGCGACTGAGCAGAGCCTGAAGGGCTCCAGTCCCTGGGGCTGTGATAGAGCCGGGCAGCACTGGGCGACTGAGCGCACAGCACATGCATATAAATGCTGAATCAAGATCTGGGGAGGCGTGAAACTGCAAAGTACCTATCACTGAGCCTTCGGGGTTTCAGTCTGGAGAAGATGTATGGTTTTGGTTTAGGACAAGAAAGCTCTTTTTGGTAATACATAGGTATGTCTATTCCCACTCTGTCATTTCTGGAAGTAGGCAATACAAATAATGTCTCTTTGTTCTGAATACCATAGAGCAGTTTCAAGTGACTGTATTCACCTAGTACTTAAAATTAGGAAAAAGTTTAGCATAATTGGCAGTATACAGAAATGAGTTAGGTGTTGTGGAGGAGCTTAAATTGTGACTTACAGCTACATATATCTGAGAGAAATATAGATGTGCCCTTATCGAAGGAGGTAGAAAGATGTACCTAAACCAACAAGAGAAGGAGGGAAGAGACAAAAGGAATGGACACAAATAGCTGCTCCACACCGTTACCTTATCAGAGGTTCAGGCCTGTGCATGTTTTATGGTCTTCTGTGCCACTGATTGGGTAGGTGCTGAAACTAGAGGGAAGAGGAGGAACTCCAGCCTAAAAAGTGCACACTGGTTTCTAGTCAGTAAGGAACCATAGCCCTTTTCATTTGAGGGTGAATTGGGAAAGGACCTTGCCAGAGAACATAAGTGTTATCTGAAGGAGAACATGTAAGGCTAGAAGAGACTAATGCTTTTACTTTTTATTGGGGTATAACTGATCTACAGCGTTGTGCCTTTCTGGTATACAGCAAAGTGAATCTGCTACATAAACACGTCTAGCCGCTCTTCTTCAGGTTCTTTTCCCGTATGCGCCATCAGAGAGTACTGAGTGGACTTCACTGTGCTCTGCGGTAGGTCCTGGTTACCTGTTCCACGTTTAGCAGTGTGTCTGTCAATCCAATCTTGCAGTGAATCACCACCCCCCCCCCCAGTGGTTTTTTAAGGCCCAGGATTTTAATCAGATTAAGCATGGCTTCTCTGGTTGAAGGAGAAGATGAGGGTTAGCTGTAACACTTTATTCCAAGGAACTGGGGTTCCTTGTCTTGGCAATCCTTGAGGCACTATGAGGAAGGGCAGTTTTAGATGCACTAAGCAGTTCAGAATGATCTGTTTCCAAAGCAAACTATTCAGTCTCACAGAAATCCAAGTCTGTGCCCCGAACTGTAATGCTGAGAAGCTGAAGTTGAACAGGTTCTGTGAAGACCTATAAGACTTTCTAGAACTAACACCCAAAAAAGATGTCCTTTTAATTATAGGGGACTGGAATGCAAAAGTAGGAAGTCAAGAAATACCTGGAGTAACAGGCAAATTTGGCCTTGGAGTACAGAATGAAGCAGGACAAAGGCTAATAGAGTTTTGCCAAGAGAATGCACTGATCATAGCAAACACCCTCTTCCAGCAACACGAGAGAAGACTCTATACATGGATATCACCAGATGGTCAACACTAAAATCAGATTGATTATATTCTTTGCAGCCAAAGATGGAGAAGCTCTATACAGTCAGCAAAAATAAGACCAGGAGCTGACTGTGGCTCAGATCATGAACTCCTTATTGCCAAATTCAGACTTAAATTGAAGAAAGTGGGGAAAACCACTAGACCATTCAGGTATGACCTAAATGAAATCTCTTATGATTATACAGTGGAAGTGAGAAATAGATCTAAGGGACTAGATCTGATAGAGTGCCTGATGAACTATGGACGGAGGTTTGTGACATTGTACAGGAGACAGGGATCAAGACCATCCCCAAGAAAAAGAAATGCAAAAAAGCAAAATGGCTGTCGGAGGAGGTCTTACAAATAGCTGTGAAAAGAAGAGAAGCAAAGGGCAAAGGAGAAAAGGAAAGATACACCCATTTGAACACAGAGTTCCAAAGAATAGCAAGGAGAGATAAGAAAGCCTTCCTCCGTGATCAATGCAAAGAAATGGAGGAAAATAATAGAATGGGAAAGATTAGAGATCTCTTCAAGAAAACTAGAGATACCAAGGGAACATTTCATGCAAAGATGGACTCAATAAAAGACAGAAATAGTATAGACCTAACAGGAACAGAAGATACTAAGAAGAGGTGGCAAGAATACACAGAAGAACTGTACAAAAAAGATCTTCATGACCCAGATAATCACGATTGTGTGATCACTCACACTCACCTAGAGCCAGACATCCTGGAATGTGAAGTCAAGTGGGCCTTAGGAAGCATCACTACAAACAAAGCTAGTGGAGGTGATGGAATTCCAGTTGAGCTATTTCAAATCCTGAAAGACGATGCTGTGAAAGTGCTGCACTCAGTATGCCAGCAAATTTGGAAAACTGAGCAGTGGCCACAGGACTGAAAAAGTCAGTTTTCATTCCATTCCTTAAGAAAGGCAATACCAAAGAATGCTCAAACTACTGCACAGTTGCACTCATCTCACACGCTAGTAAAGGAATGCTCAAAATTCTCCAAGCCAGGCTTCAACAATATGTGAACCGTGAACTTCCAGATGTTCAAGCTGGTGTTAGAAAAGGCAGAGGAACCAGAGGTCAAATTGCCAACATCTGCTGAATCATCGAAAAAGCAAGAGAGTTCCAGAGAAACATCTATTTCTGCTTTATTGACTACGCCAAAGCCTTTGACTATGTGGATCACAACAAACTGTGGAAAATTCTGAAAGAGATGGGAATACCAGACCACCTGACTTGCCTCTTGAGAAACCTGTATGCAGATCAGGAAGCAACAGTTAGAACTGGACATGAACAACAGACTGGTTCCAAATAGGAAAAAGAGTATGTAAAGGCTGTATATTGTCACCGTGCTTATTTAACTTATATGCAGAGTACCTCATGAAAAACGCTGGGCTGGATGAAGCACAAGCTGGAATCAAGATTGCTGGGAGAAATATGAATAACTTCTGATATGCAGATGACACCACCCTTAAGGCAGAAAGTGAAGAAGAACTAAAGAGCCTCTTGATGAGAACAGCATCGAAACACGTATATTATCTAGGGTGAAACAGATCCCCAGCCCAGGTTGGGTGCATGAGACAAGTGCTCGGGCCTGGTGCACTGGGAAGACCCAGAGGGATTGGGTGGAGAGGGAGGTGGGAGGGGGGACCGGGATGGGGAATACATGTAAATCCATGGCTAATTCATTTCAATGTATGACAAAAAAAAAAAAAAAAGCCTCTTGATGAAAGTGAAAGAGGAGAGTGAAAAAGTTGGCTTAAAGCTCAATATTCAGAAAACAAAGATCATGGCTTCTAGTCCCATCACTTCATGGCAAATAGATGGAGAAACAGTGGAAACAGTGGCAGACTTTATTTTTTGCGGCTCCAAAATCACTGCAGATGGTGACTGCAGCTAACTACACCCTGGGCACAAAGGTGGTTGTAGCTATTTTCTTGGAATCTGTCCATTGCAATATTAGTATTAATCCCAGTTAAACATTCGTGTTTGAAGAATGGTTTTCTTTGTATAAGACATTTTTCATTCTGTAGCTTGGTTATACACGTACTTTTGTGGTTACTGTGAATTAAATCCATATGAGGTTCATATTATTCCCATGGAGTGGGAACGACTGATGTATTCTAACATCTTAAGGGTTTTGGACCCAATTATAGAGTGTGTGTGTGTGTGTGCGTGCGCGCGCGCGCGTGCATGTACACACTTGCGCAGGGGATTGTTTTCCCCACACCAGTGAACAGGTTTTGGATATCAACTGCATGACTTACATTTCAGCTCAATTCTGACACCTTCTGCCTGGAGGTAGCGTCACATTCCAGAGGTGAAGGACTGTCCCATAAGACCATTCTTGGCTTCAGATGCCAGTTGCGAAGTCCAGGTTGTCACTTCTGCTTTTGAGCCCCCTCTTTGGGTTTGATTAGTTTTTGCTAAAGTGATTCATAGAATTCAGAAATGTTTTTCTTATTAAGTTTTCCAGTTTATTACAGAAAAGGGATATAACTCAGGAATAACTAGTTGGAAGACATAAATACTTAGGGTGCAAGGTACAGAAAAAGTGAGGAACTTTCTTGCTGTCTTCTCTGGCACCACTATCCCCAAATCTACATGTGTTTTTCAAACCAGAAACACCCCTTTTTGCTTTTTATGGGGTTGACTGAGTTTATTTCCTGGAGGTGGGGGGGAGGGGCCCATTGAGTTTCAGCACTCTTGATCACCTGGCAACCAAGTTAATTCCCGAAGTGGACTCCAGAAGTCACATAATTAACAGGATGTAAAGATACTTTTGGGCTGCTCTTGGGGCTCAGCTGGTAAAGAATCTGCCCACAATGAGGGAGACCTAGATAAAAAGCAGAGATACTTTTTGCTTTTATCATTTAAGACATTCCAACCATTTCAGGAGCTCTTATACCAGAAGAGGGGACAGTTACCAAATATATATTATTGTAAATCACAGTATCATATGTTTCCTTTTATTGAACAGCTGAAAAGACTTAGGCTTAGATGTGTGAGGAGGTTTTTCCATAGAGACACAGCAAGAGCTAGACCCTGAAATACTGTGATTTTTTTTACCTAGTGTTTTTATGTCTTTAATTGCCTGGATATTTCTGAATTTTTGACTTTGAAATAAGCAAATATTAATGGACTGAAGGTCTAACAGCCAAACTTGAAAATCATCATCCAGATTTATTATTTCCAGGTCTTTGAAGAAACTGGTTTTGATATTAAAGATTATATTTGTAAGGATGATTACATTGAACTTCGGATCAATGATCAGCTTGCTCGTTTGTACATCATTCCAGGAATTCCAAAAGATACAAAATTTAACCCAAAAACCAGAAGAGAAATCCGGGTATGTAATTGAGAAGAATTTTCAGGTTGCTTGATGGTGTCTAATTAAATGATGCTAGAAATTGCTTTTAGAAATTCCTTGATAATAACTAATTTTCTTGTGTTTCAGAATATTGAGTGGTTCTCCATTGAGAAATTGCCTTGCCATAGAAATGATATGACCCCAAAATCCAAACTTGGTTTGGCACCAAACAAATTTTTTATGGCCATTCCTTTTATCAGGTATGTTTGTATTTTTTAAAATATGAAACTTCACAATTCTGATAGTTTCTTTACATAGCCAAGTTTTAAAAGTGAATTCTTAATGTCTCCATAGACCATTAAGGGACTGGCTTTCTCGAAGATTTGGAGATTCCTCAGATAGTGACAATGGATTTTCCTCAGCTGGTAGCACACCAGCTAAACCCACTGTGGAAAAATTGAGGTAAAGAAACAGATGTGTTGGGTTCTGATTTTTTGGTCTTTTTTAATACATTAGTAGCATTTTGCTTACAAAGTCTGCAGAGGTATTGGCTTCCTTTTATAGGTACTATTTTGTTACTAGTCTCACAGATAATAGACATTTTAAAGGGGTAGTTTTTGGATGAGAGGTTAATTGAAGTTACAGAGGAGCTTCAGGCATATTTTAAAATAGTATACACAAGAGAGTGTCAGCTTTTTAGATGTGTAGTTAGAGTGTGAGGAAAAGAAAATAGTTTTTTCTCTCTCTGTATGTATTCATAGTGCTTGTTCTGTGTTCTCATATCTCTACTTCAGAAATAGCTGTGTTTCTGTATGTGGTGAATGTCTGTTTTTGTGAGGAGGAGATGAGGGCTGCTGGTGTATAATTTGCTCAGAGAGGTAGCACTGTGAAGGCTTGGGCTGCACCTTTCCTTTCCCTCGCCTAGACTGTCTGTTACAAGGAGTGAGTATTACATGGATAAGAGCTGCAAAGAGCATTTTCTTGTTTGGGACTTAATTGTATCCAAGTCACAATTATAGAGTAGGCTCAGTAATTTTCTGAAGTTCAGTTCAGTCACGCAGTCCTATCTGACTCTTTGCGACCCCCATGGACTGCAGCATTCCAGGCTTCCCTGTCCACCACCAACTCCCGAAGTTTACTCAAACCCATGTCCATTGAGTCAGTGATGTCATCCAACCATCTCATCCTGTGTCATCCCCTTCTCCTCCCGCCTTCAATCTTTCCCAGCATCAGGGTCTTTTCAAATGAGTCAGCTCTTTGCGTCAGGTGGCCAAAGTATTGGAGTTTCACCGTCACTGTCAGTCCTTTCAATATAATTTTCTGAAATAAGTATATGTATTTGCCTTGTTAGGTTCAGAGAGAGTTGCTTTCTAAATTTTCCCTAATTTAGATGCTTTGTTTTAATCCTAGAGCTTTAAAAGTAAACAATAGGAGTAAAGCATACCTACAGTCAATATTTTTTAGATACATAGGTAATATTCCATTTTAGTTGGATTTTATGAGGACAGGAGATTGGATTAAATGCCTTGAAAGTCATTTGTGCCTTTCAGAATCTGTGACTATAATCACCAAAGTATTTACTACTAGATATAACTGAAGTAGAAAAAAGAAAAAACAGGAATGTAGTCATGATTTTAAAAACCTAATCACTATTATAAAGTTATGAAATAGTGATAGTGTTTGAAAAGAAAATGTGTCACTGTTTTAAGAATCTGTCACCCATAGTGATAGGATACGATTCCCACATCTTTCAGTCGGTATTAGGGTTCGTGATCCTAGAGAATGGAATAAGGAAATAATGAAACAACTTCTCAAACAAATTTCAGGTTTCTCAGGCAGGATGATGTCTCTTTTTAGCATATAGACTAACTCTAATGGTGTGTTGGAGGAATTACTTGAATTTTGTCTAAAGAAAGAGAGCCTGCAATTTAATTACAATTTTTAAATGGAAAAGGGGACAGATTCTGAAGTATTTAGAAACAATCTTATTATAATATGGACCTTGGGATCAGCGTCTCTGGACCATATTAATATATGTAAGTGGTACTATAGAATACAATTTATCTTTACTACAAATTATTACAGTTGATTTCTTTGGTATAAGTATTTGAGATTGCATCTTTATTTAATATGCTTATCTATCATTTTGAACTCCTGAATTTCCTTGGAAGAAAAGCTGTGACAAATATAAACAGAGTATTAAAAAGCAGAGACATCACTTTGCGGACAAAGGTCTGTGTAGTCAGAGCTATGGTTTTTCCAGTAGTCATGTACGGATATGAGAGTTGGACCGTAAAGAAGGCTGAGTGCCGAAGAATTGATGCTTTTGAACTGTGGTGTTGGAGAAGACTCTCGAGAGTCCCTTGGACTGCAAGGAGATCCAGCCAGTCTTAAAGGAAATCAACCAGGAATATTCGTTGGATGGACTGATGCTGAAGCTCCAATACTTTGGCCACCTGATGTGTGGAGCTGACTCATTGGAAAAGACCCTGCTGCTGGGAAAGATGGAGAGCAAGAGGAGCAGGGGTTGACAGAAGTTGAGATGGTTAGATGGCATCATTGAGTTGGACATGACTTAGCGACTGAACAACAACAACATAGCTCAGTTTCTCAGATCTTCCATCAGGGAGGGTCCATACTGACCTGTGCAGGGTCAAATTCTACCTAAGCATCCTAATAAGGAATTGAATTGTCTGTCCTGTTACAAAAATCCACTGACACATGTTTATGTAGAATAGCTTTACTTATTGGCTTCATTACTAAATTTACTAAACTTGTGAAAGAATTGTTTCCTTCAGGTTCTTTTCCGTTGTTGTTCGGCCAGGCTGCGAGGCTCGCAGGACCTTAGTTCTTTTTCCATGGCTTGAACCTGAGTCCCCTGCAGCGGAAATGCAGGGTTCTAACCACTGGGCTGCCAGCAGATTCGCCAGGTTTTTAAAAGTACAGTCATTTATAGGAGGAGGTGGTATCAACAATTTAGAAAAGTTTGGGACTAAAAATAACAGATTATCACCCCATTCAAGAAATGTGGAGTGGTAGGCATTCTTCTGGGTTCTGGCAGTAAAGCAGTAGACAAAGTCGATAAGAATCCTCTGCCCTTGTGGAATTTAAACTCCAGTGAGGGGAGACAGTGAATAAAGTAACATTTATAGTCTGTTAGATAAACTCTCAAGGTTTGGGAAGAAGTATCAGTAAAAATTTTCTGATATTATTTTTATTTTTAAATCTTGTTATAGTCGAACCAAATTCCGCCACAGTCAGCAGTTATTTCCTGAAGGTTCTCCTGGCGACCAGTGGGTAAAGCACCGGCAGCCCCTGCAGCATAAACCATATAATAATCATCACGCTGAAATGTCTGATCTTTTAAAGGCAAAGGTGAGTGGTAATGCAATTAAAGATTTCCATTAACTTAAGATCATTTGACTTTGAAATGCATCTGAGTGGAGGCGTTGCATATTAACAGTTGTAGAGCTCTGAGTTGTTCATCCAAGGCGCCTGTGTTTCTGAGTTGTTACTTGAAGCTGGGATGAGACTCCTAACTTTTATAGCTTTGATATTAATCCAGTGTAGTAAGGAATATGAATTACCAGTAACATCTGATTTTGGTAAATACACTACCAGTGAAAGTTTCATTCTGTGTCATTCTTCAGTGTTTGATTATATCATAGTTTATTTATCCGTTCTACTTAGTGGACATGTTGTTTCCACTTGGGGCTTCTACAAATCATACTGCTAGGAATATTTCTGTACATGTATTTTGATGAACATACACAGTTCTTTTGAGTAGATAGAATTGTTGGAGCAGTGCATATGCCTATGTTCTTAAGTATATACTGCAAACAATGTTCTAAAGTACTTTGTATCCTCTGCAAAATATTTGAGAGTTCCATTTGTTCCATATCCTTACTGATCTTTGGTATTACCTGTCTTGTTACTTTAACCATCTATTTGGGTACCACTCTTTACTTCTCTTCTTTTACAAATACACTGGGTTCATCAGAATTTAAAATTTCTGTGCTTGAATGATCACTGTCAAAAGAGAAAAAACACCCATGGAATGGGAGAGTTTGTAAATCACATATCTAAGGGGTTTATATCCAGGATATATGGAGACTTCCTATAGCTCAACAACAGCAAAGAAGAAACAATAAAAAAAAATGAGTACACAGCAACTTGAATAGACATTTATTGAAAGAAGACATTTACATGGTCAGTAAGCACATGAAAAAATGCCCAGTTTTGAAGTAATAAAAATGTAGTAAAAAATGGAAAATAATGAGTTGACAAGAATGTAAAAAGGTTGGAACCCTTGTGTATTGCAGGTGGGAATGTAAAATGGTACAGCTGCCATTGGATAGCTTGGTGGTTCCTCAAAAAGGTACACATAGAATTACTATGTGATCCAGCGGTTCTACTCCTCGGTTCATGTTCAAAAGAATTGAAAGCAGGGACTCAAAAGAGAAAGCTTACATACCAGTGTTCACAGTAGTGTTGTTCATGATAGCCAGAAGGTGGAAGCAACCTACATGTGTGTCAAAGATTAATTGATAAAGTAAACATACAGTGAATATTATTTGGCCTTTAAAAGGAATGAAATTACACATATGTGCTACAACATGGATGAACCTCACACACAAAAGGACAAATACTATATGATTCCACTAATTAATTTGAGATTACCAGAGCTGAGAGACAGGAAAAAACGGAAATATTTAATAGACAAAGTTCTGCTTCAGTGATGGAAAAGTTCTGGAGATGGATACTGGTGGTGGTTGTACAACTTTTTGACTGTACTTAACTGTCACTGAACTGTCCATTTAAAAGTGGTTCAGGTGGTAAGTTTTATGTATATGGTACACAGTAGAAAAGTAAATATCGAAAAGAATGGAATGAAATGGAGTTAAAGGTATCTGCTAACATGAGCCTCTGAAAGCTATTTCCCTTCCTTTCTTTAAGTTATTGTTTTCAAGCTATTTTAGGAACTACTTAATTTTTTCTGTAGGTAGATAGGATGTACATAATGTATTTATTGTAAAATAATAAAATTATTCTTTTCACTGTTTTAGCTAGTTCTCTTAAATAACTGTTTTTAAGATCTTTAAGGCCAAATTAATGTTTAAAAACTGTTCTAAGTTAAAGTTAGAATTATTTGCAAGAAAATTAAATTAACTCATGTTTAAGCAATATAATAGCAAGATGTCAGCTACTGCATGTTTAGATTTTAGGTCTGAATTTAGGGATTAAAAGTGAAAGTGAAATTCTCTCAGTTGTGTCCCGCTGTTTGTGACCGCTCGGACTGTCCGTGGGGATTCTCCAGGCCAGAATCCCAGAGTGGGTAGCTGTTCCCTTCTCCAGGCAATCTTCCCAACCCAGGGGTTGAACCCAGGTCTCCCACATTGCAGGCAGATTCTTTACCATCTGAGCCAAACCAGTCTTATTTATTATTTTATATAAAAAGATTATTAATTTAAAAATTCCTATTAATTAATAGTTTACAGCAGGTTTTAGGGTAACAGTGATCACATCTGGTGTTTGTTTCCTGCTCTAAGCACTGAAGTCAGCGTGCCTCAGTGTTCCTTCACAGAGAGATTTTCTTTGATAGTCATAAGGTTTTCAAAGTTGTTCCTAGGGAACATTGTATTTGCTATTTCGTATCTTTTGAGGATTCTTGTTCTGTGAAGCTCTCTGTAATGAAAGATGTTGATAGTGGTTCTTCGATATTTTAGGAAGATTTTGGGGGGTTTTGCTGAACTCTGATTGAACCAGCTTAATATATTCATAGGGGTATATTGTTTTATCCTGTTACATTGTGCTGTACGTTTACATTTTATTTCTTATTGGAAAAACAGAATCAAAGTATAAGGGGAAATGGCAGAAAACAGTATCAAGATTCACCTAATCAAAAGAAAAGAACAAATGGGATACACAGCCAGCCAGCCAAGCAACAGAATCCCCTGGTGGTAAGAGTTAACAATGCTTATGCTAAGGCAGTTCATGCTTTTTAGGATGGGGCAAGGGCATTGTCAAGGCATTTTGAATTGCTTTATTGACAGGATTTTTATGAATCTGTGTGTGTGCTGTTCACCCACTGAGAAATCTCTGCCTACCCTCGATTATAGATTTGTCGTATTGATTCAGTTGTGCATCTGATCTTTACTTTTTTATGTGGGTATTTGTTTATCTGTTTGTTTATGATTTTTAACATTAATTTTTATTGGCGTATAGTTGATTTACAAAGTTGTGCTAGTTTCAGGTGAAAAAGTGGATCAGTTACACATATATCCACTCTAGATTCTCTTTTTGTATAGGTCAAAAAACAGCACTGAGGAGAGTTCCCTGTGCTGTTCTGTAGATTCTTATCAATTATCAATGTGTGGGTATTTAGACTTATTTTAATACTTTGGAAACAGTGTTAGTCAACTGTGCTTTCTAGATAAGTCCTAGGTATTCTCTCTGTTTTTCTAAATAGTGTCTGTATTATTTTAGTGAAGTTAAAAGTTTGGAATAGTTTCACAGTGTATTTTATTTTTCTTCAAATTGATAGAATTCAGAAAATGAAAACCAAAACACTCACAGCCAATGCCATAGTCATTAGACTAGGCTGATGGACAGAAACCTGTGAGCGTTTTAAGACATTTATTTCCATTCTTTTAGTCTGTGTTTCAGAAAGCAATTCATAACTGATAAGCTTCCTTGCTTAACTTTTCCATAGGTCCTGGTATCTCTGTGTTGAATTTTTTAATATTGTAGGTTTACCTGTTTTTCCTTCTTTAACAGTGGGTAGTAGTAGTAATCTCAGATGCTTGGCAAGAGTATTTGCCCTGAATCCTGGGTGCTGCTGACTTAAGCCGGAGTGCTTCGACTCCACAAGCAAGCGCAAGTTAGATGTTAATGCTGGACTACTCGCTGCCTTTACTGCACGCCGCTCCAGTAGAAACAGTGACGGATACACGGGAGACAGTCTTAATAGATGGCCAGAAAGCTTTTAACCTAATTCAGCATCTGTCTCTAACAAAGGCTGAGCAGATTAGAATGACAGCATTGCACCTCAACATAATAAAAGCTATATATGACAGACCCACAGCAAACATTATCCTCAGTGGTGAAAAATTGAAAGCATTTCCCCTGAAATCAGGAACAAGACAAGGGTGCCCACTCTCACCACTACTATTCAACATAGTTTTGGGAGGTGTTGGCCACAGCAATCAGGGCAGAAAAAGAAAAGGAATCCAGATAGGAAAAGAAGAAGTGAAACTCTCGCTGTTTGCACATAGCATGATCCTCTACATAGAAAACCATAAAGACTCTACCAGAAAATTACTAGAGCTGATCAATGAATATAGTAAAGTTGCAGGATATAAAATTCACACACAGAAATCCCTTGCATTCCTATACAATAACAATGAGGAAACAAAGAGAAATTAAGGAAACAATACCAGTCACCATTGCAACAAAAAGAATAAAATACTTAGGAGTATATCTACCTAAAGAAACAAAAGACCTATACATAAAAACTATAAAACACTGATGAAAGAAATCAAAGAGGACACAAATAGATGGAGAAATATACCGTGTTCATGGATTGGAAGATCAGTATTGTGAAAATGAGTATACTACCCAAAGCAATCTATAGATTCAGTGCAATTCCTATCAAGCTACCAACAGTATTCTTCATGGAACTAGAACAAATTCGCAATTTTTATGGAAATACAAAAAACTTTGAATAGCCAAAGTAATCTTGAGAAAGAAGAATGGAACTGGAGGAATCAACCTGCCTGACTTCAGGCTCTACTACAAAGCCACAGTCATCAAGGCAGTATGGTACTGGCACAAAGACAGAAATATAGATCAATGGAACAAAATAGAAAGCCCAGAGATAAATCCATGTACCTATGGACACCTTGTCTTCAACAAAGGAGGCAAGAATATATAATGGAAAGAAGACAACCTCTTTAACAAGTGGTGCTGGGAAAACTGGTCAACCACTTGTAAAAGAATGAAACTAGAACACTTTCTAACACCATACACAAAAATAAACTCAAAATGGATTAAAGATCTAAATGTAAGACCAGAAACTATAAAACTCCTAGAGAAGAACATAGGCAAAACACTCTCTGACATAAATCACAGCAAGATCCTCTATGACCTACCTCCCAGAATATTGGAAATAAAAGCAAAAATAAACAAATGGGACCTATTGAAACTTAAAAGCTTTTGCACAACAAAGGAAACTATAAGCAAGGTGAAAAGACAGCCTTCAGAATGGGAGAAAAGAATAGCAAATGAAGAAACACACAAAGGATTAATCTCAAAAATATACAAGCAACTCCTGCAGCTCAATTCCAGAAAAATAAATGACCCAATCAAAAAATGGGCCAAAGAACTAAACAGACATTTCTCCGAAGAAGACATACAAATGGCTAACAAACACAGGAAAAGATGCTCGACATCACTCATTATCAGAGAAATGCAAATCAAAACCTCAATGAGGTACCATTACACACCAGTCAGAATGGCTGCTACCCAAAACTCTACAAGCAATAAATGCTGGAGAGGGTGTGGAGAAAAGGGAACCCTCTTACATTGTTGGTGGGAATGCAAATTAATACAGCCACTATGGAGAACAGTGTGGAGATTTCTTAAAAAACTGGAAATAGAACTGCCATATGACCCAGCAATCCCACTCCTGGGCATACACACCGAGGAAACCAGATCTGAAAGAGACATGTGCACCCCAATGTTCATCGCAGCACTGTTTATAATAGCCAGGACATGGAAGCAACCTAGATGCCCATCAGCAGATGAATGGATAAGGAAGCTGTGGTACATATACACCATGGAATATTACTCAGCCATTAAAAAGAATACATTTGAATCAGTTCTGAGGTGGATGAAACTGTATAATGGATGAGCCCATTATACAGAGTGAAGTAAGCCAGAAAGATAAAGACCAATACAGTATACTAATGCATAGGTATGGAATTTAAAAAGATGGTAATGATAACCCTATATGCAAAACAGAAAAAGAGACACAGATGTACAGAACAGGCTTTTAGACTTCTGGGAGAAGGCGAGGATGGGATGTTCTGAGAGAACAGCATTGAAACAAGTATACTATCAAGGGTGAAACAGATCACCAGCCCAGGTTGGATGCATGAGACAAGTGCTCAGGGCTGGTGCACTGGGATGACCCAGAGGGATCGGGTGGAGAGGGAGGGGGGATCGGGATGGGGAACACATGTAAATCCATGGCTGATTCATGTCAATGTATGGCAAAAACCACTACAATATTGTAAAGTAATTAGCCTCCAACTAATAAAAATAAATGAAAAAAAAATGATAGTATTGTGTAAATGTTAATTCTCCTCAGATTAATATATAGATTTAATTCAGTACCAGTCAAAATCCTTTTTGGTTTTTTGGGGGCAACTTCACAAATGACTAGTGTTTGTCTGGGAGAACTTGAATAAGTTTTTAAAAAGTTCTTAAAGTTAATGATGAGGACAAGTATATGAAGACCTTAAAAGAAAAAGCTAAAAGTGATTGATTAACATATAAATATGTAGTTCAAGAAAGTAAATTAAAATGGGATGCCACTTTTCCCCATTAGATTGGCAAAGATGAGAAGATATCCAGTTATGTATTGCTGAATATATTGAGAATACTCAAAAGTTAATAATTGGTACAACCTTGTAGAGAGTAGTTTGGCTGTATTGAAAGTGATTTCCTTACCATATTTCCCTAGAACATAGAGTGTTCATCCCATTGCTCTTAAATGATCAAAACATGGAAATAGTCTAAAAGTCTAAGAAGATATTAACTGTAATATCGTAGATATATGCCATAGACTACCATGTAGTCATTAAAAGTGTTGGTGTAGATTTGTATTAATTTTTTGATTTGTGTTTATTGAAAAAGGGATATATTCATAGTGTATTACATTTAAAAAGTGAGTTATAGAATAGCATATACTATGGATAATTCTGTTACATAATTATATGAAAGTATATTCACACATATCTTCATGGAAAAAAAGTGGAAAGATGTGCTGTAATGTTAATTATCTCCAAGTTGAAAAATTTAATAAATAATTTTCTTTTTTCCCCCTGGTGTTTCTATATTGTACATATAATCAAGAACTGAAAGCAGTTTTAGGCTTTAAAAAATTACTTAAAATTGCCAATGCTGAGTGGGGATGGTGATTATATTCCTGGTTTAATTTTCTTCCTGAGAAATTTGATAATGTATCTCCTTATTTATATCAATAATAAGTGAAATAACTGGATATAGTATGTTGTATGTTTGTGTTTTTTAATAGAAATGTGAAAAAAAACTTCATCCACGAAAACTTCAGGATACTTTTGAAACAGGCAAGTCTTTTTTTTTTTTTTTTTAATTTCTTCCAGTTGGGATTCAGCTTGGTTTTGAAGTAAACTTGATTTAAGTAGTGTGTGATGAACTGTGATAGATAAGCTGAAAGAGTTGCATACAATCTGTAGAAAGTTCACATATGCGGTCAAGTTCTCTAAACAGGAAACTGGCTAAAAATAAAACTAAATTTATTTAAATGATCAAGATGAAATGATTTGTCCTTTCAGTATCCTGTTACTTTAGTGAATGTCAGACGTTGATGCTCTGTGTGAATATTGTAAACAAATAAATAGTTGCTTAATGGTTAGACGGTGAGTAGACCCAAGTAATAGTAGGAGAGAGCTCACTTCAGAAGGGAACTGTTCCCCCTCGTTGGAGGTAATGACCCACGTGTTAAGGTGGCACCAAGGATAGTCTTCACTAAGATGATGGTTGGCTCTTCTCCATGCTCAGTTATGAAAAGGAGGTGTGTGATTTGATTCGGAAAGTAATGGTGAGGAATGTAGAAAGCTCTTTGTAAATTCTGATTTCATAGGTGTCATTCGGAAGTACAGTAGGCTGTTTTTTTGTTAGGTGCTATTTTGTATGGTATGAAATTCCCCATGCATTAGATAAGCATTTATTTACCTTCTAGATTTAAGGCTTTCATCTAAATGCTCCTTAATAATTGAGAAGCATTATAATCATACTCTCTTCCTTGCATTACTGTTTATAATTTAAGCAAGATGGAAGCTATTTAAAAAAGAGATGCTTTAACTCTGTTTTGGGCAATTAAGGTTGTCCTCTTAGTAGGACTTCTCTGGCCACCATAGGTGGTGTGGACATGATAGGCTGATAGTTGAATTAATATAACTTCAGAAACCACTTATTTCACAAAATCTTTAAAAAGCCATATGTTTAGGAGCATTAAAGAAGGCACACTATAATAATGTATACCCAACTCAGTTGGGCATGATACAAAAGTTTTGAGTTGTCTTGAGAAAGAAGTATAAAAGGAGTTATTGCCTTGGGAAACCTCACATCAGACTTTATTTCTACCTCAGCCTCTTGGTGTCTACTCCAAACCCTGCTTTCCTCATCGGGGTCCTGTTCTACTTAGGCGGGGGTGGGGGCAAGTTGGAGTTTTGTTGCACAGTGAGTTTGAAAATCTGGATTTTTCTTTAGGTAGATTTTTTTCTCTGAAGATGTGGTGACCATCAGCTTTATTTTTCTAGAATTGGAATCTGTACACATCTTATATTGTAATTATAATCTTTATAATGTTTACATTTTGATCTCTGTCAAGAAGCTCCCATGTTGACAAAATATAAATAGAGATGGTGAATAAAGGTATTCCCACTTTTTTTTACCAGCTGAGCCACAAAGGAAGCACAAGCTATGCCCATTTTTGAAAGCAGGTGAATATTAAGGATCTTAAAGACAGACTAAGATCTTGAATGTTTATTAGAATAAGAATAGATTGGAAATTCACCTTGAATATCAGTTTAGGGAAAGGAAAATGTTTTGGTGGTTCTACATAGGTTAGATTTAGAGTGTGGGGAGGTGAATACACGCCGCATGTGAACTCCTTCAAAACAGAAGGTGAAGGGCAGGACCTGACCTAACTGAGCTTATTTGTTTTGCTCTCTAAGCAGATGCTGTGTATGACTCACCTTACTCCGGTGAAGACCAGTTGCTGGAGCATGCCGAGGGCCAGTCTGTGGCATGTAATGGACACTGCAAGCTCCCCTTTTCATCCCGAGCTTTTTTGAGCTTCAAGTTTGACCATAATGCTATAATGAAAATCTTGGACCTTTGATAGCAGCAAATATGGAAGTCCCCAAATCAGAGACTTGTTGCATTTGAGTGGGTGTCTCTTTGAGCCTTACCTTTCTCAGGTGTTTTAAAGAAATGCAGGGAGACGATGTTTCTGAAGAGATGTTCTCTGTGCAGAAGAGAGAGTAGAAAGAAACATGAATTTGCACTGTAAATGTGGTTATAACTTTTTATACACATGTACCTTTTCAGTGTTTGGCTAATGAATTTAAGTTGCTTTTTATGAGGGCATTTTTTTCTGTGATTGTGGTTTTTATCTTGTATTCTGGTCACAAAAATAGCGTTTGAGTCATCATTAAGTAGCCGGGTTAATGGGAATGCTCCATCTTCCCACTGCAGTGATTGTGATACTAGTTTCCTATACTGAAAACTTTAAAAGAAACTTAAAATACACAATTATTACATGAATACAAGACCCGAAATGTCACAGAAGTCAAGATTGCAGGTCATCTGCTTTGGTGGCATTTTGCACATTTCTATGCTTCTAATAGCTTAGGTTCGCTAACCTTCCTTGCTAGGAGTTTTGTTGAAAGGTTTTACTTAGAGTCAGAATCTGCTATATAATGTTCATGTTCAAGATGAACTCATGGCACTTCGTTAAAGGACAGAGTCCTCAGCCTGGAGAGGGGCTTGAGCTGGTGGTGGAGAGCTGTGGCTCTGGTTCTGAGTCGTGCTGTGTGCTCACGCTGGGCTCGGAGGTTGTGGGGAGAGGACAGCTGGGGGAGAGCACGGGGCCCCGAGACTGTGCTGTCACAGCTGCAGCGTCCCACCCCAGCCCCTTGGGGTTGTGTGGTTTTCTTCTCGTGCAACTCTACTCTGTGTTACAGCTGTGTAAATATGTATGGAATACCGACATTACTAGGTTCCACATTGCATCTCAGTGTTGTTGATCTCTGGAAACGGATGCTATTTTAGGTTCCCACTTGCAGTAGTAGCAGAGACTGACATACTTGGTAGCGTACTGAAGCCTCTGGACGATGGAGTGAAAAGGGAAGGGTGTGCAGTTTACCCAAATACTGATAAAGCATCGCACTAGGGGAGGAGCAGAACAGGGCAGCAACATGTGTGATTCACTCCTAGGAATGTATTGTGCTCCTTTAGGATTCTTAAATCCAAATAAGGATGGCAGTGCCCATTTAGAGAAGGAGTTTAGCTATGTAAAGCTATGGACAATCACCAGGGCTTTAAGGGGGCTTTAGTGTTTGGGCTGCTTCTGACCTCACTGAAGGTGTTTCTTTGGGGGTGGGGGGAGAGTGTTAGCATATGCGTGCATACGCGTCTGTCATATGGGTTTTAAAAATCTATTTTACATGTGGTATCCACAAAATATATCTCTGCTTGTAAATTTTATTGTGGAAATCTTGATTCTGTATAGATAGTCTATTTAATAGGGTTTCTATTTAACCCTGTGGGACTTTCAAAAGAAGTGCTGTTGTAAGGAGTTCACTTGGTATTTCTTTGCTTTAGATTTTCAATGGCTTGATTTTAAAGGAGAAAGTCTATTTATGAATAAAAGTGTCACCATCTTGGTGCTAAGCAGGATAATTCAGTTTTAGCAGTGTGTTAGAACTAGGTTATCCACTGTCCTGCATCTTTTAATGTGACAAATTGGTGAATCCTTCTGTGACCTTTTAAAAATGCATTTTAAGATTGCTTTGGAAGCTCTTAACTGTTCTAAGAATACAGCAGCTTTGCTTTGGTCTCCTTGAGCCATATTTATAGTTGGTCCCAGCATTCCAGGTTTCTGTTCTTAATGGAGTGAAACTTAGTTTGTCTGGCAGGTGAGTCGTTTTCACTCATTTACTGCCGTCTGGAAACCATTTAATTTTTTGTGATTTTGAATGTGTTTTTTTCTGTTTAAATGAGTGCTTTGGTAAGTCTTTCTGGTGCCTTGAGTTGGAATTTTCAGCTCTTGACACTAAAGCAGAAGAGATTAGTTACCAGAAATATGGCCTCTAATGGTGTTGAGCCTTTTCAAGAACCAACAGATTATTTCTTTTCGATTATGGTAGTTTGGTTAAATATTGCTATTGGGCTGCTTCATTTAATGCACTGTGGGTGGGACAAAATAAGGGTGTTGTTGGGATGGTAATTTTGGTATTGAGGCTTTTAGCTCTCTTGACAGTTTGAGATTTAAAAAATGTTAAAAGATGAGTTAAAATTTATTTGTGTGATGTGACTTAACTATGCAGAAAAATGTATAAGTTGGATGTACCTATTTTATGTACATCTGCTATACTTCTTCCCTCGAACCTGTGTATTAGATTCTCAGTGTTCAGCTTACCTTGAAAAGGGCCATGCTTAGCACAGAACTAGATTTCTTGATTGAGAAATTTTAGCATGGTTTGAAGAAATCAAATGATAGATAAGAGAGTGTGCTGAATATGCAATACCTTACTTCTGTGTGCTGCATTTTAAGAAGCTAGATGAGAATAGCAGTTGTGTTGGCTTCAATTACAGATTATGTCTTTGAGAGAAATATGTCTTTTGAATCCACTTTTTCAGTATTCTTAGTTCCAAGGTTCATTGTACTGTGAATCTTTTTATTTTTTTAAATTTCCTAGGTGCTTTTATGTATAATGATTTATAAGATGTTCAATGAATTGTTTTTGTACTTAACCATTATAATCTAGAAGATAGAAGTATGGTTTATATGCTTTCACAAGTTTTTGTTCAGAACTAGCAAATGAATGGTTTTAAGATTTCAAAGTGGTGTTCTGAGACATGAGCATTTGGAGACATCTGAGATCCTACTAGAGCTTTTGTAGCATGGGTGAAATTTGGTTGAAGATGTTTGAAAGTGAAGTTGGATTTTCATGGTTATGAAAAGGTGAGTTTCCTATGCTGTAAAGGAATGGTGGTCACTGCTTGCTGCTTTGAACTTGGATTATTTTTCCATTAAGTATCAATTAGTAAGTACAAATGAAGATGTATAGCAATATTAATTTTACGCTATGAGATTGGGTTGGTATTGTCTTTTAAGTCTTTAGTGATTTGTGTGTTAATATAAAAATACTCCTCAAGTCTAAGTGAATGGCATCCTTCCATAAGGAGGATTAAATTCTTCTATAAAACTTAATACATTGTGGTAGTCTTAGAAAATTTCAGGTCTGAGTGCATGTATGCATTAAAAAAAATTAAAAACATTTCATTACCTTTTCCCTTGCTTTTTTTTTTTTGTTTGTTTCCAACAGTTAACTTGAAGAGTAAGGAGCAAAATCAGTTAAAAAATTAGACTTTTTAACAGTTATTTTTCTTACTATGATAATATCTCTTGGCTTTTTATCTTTATCTTTGTACCAGTGGCCCTCTGAGCTACGTGCTCAGAGATTTTTGTCTTGATTGACGTCCATTGTGTCTTTGTATTCTCTGAGGCAGTACAGTATTTTCTTTGCATATTAATCATAGTTAAAAGGTCAGAGTCATTAACATTTTCTGATTGAAGAAAAATTAGGTGTTACCTAGCAATTTTGAATTAGGTATTTTCTAGCCTGGGGAAGGGACTCGCATGTATTACTGTAATGTTAAAGATGAACAAGACAAACTCACTCTGTCTGAAGGTATCGATCTACTTTATGTTTTAAGTACCTGTCTCTAGGTAAATAGGTGTTAGTTAAATAAGTTTTGTTAAACTTTATTCTTGGTAGTTTGGTGAAGGCTTGAGTTCCTCATTATGTACTAGACTTTAAAATCAGTTTGTACAGTTGCCGAAAATTGTAAAAATGAGATTATGATGGGCTTTCTCAGCATCTTTTTATTCTTAGAATTGAGTTGTTTTTGAAGTTTCTCCACCTCTGTCATGAAGAAGGCAGATTACAGATGGACAGTATAGGCTCTGTCTCGTGCTTTTGGAGCAAATTCTGGATATCAGTTTCAGAAAATATGAAAGGTTTATTGTTATAGGGTAAAAAGTGCCCCGAAGGAGGAAGATAGCTATAGTTACTGGGCAAGGAAAACAGAAGGCAGAGATTTTAGAAGATAAAATCAGTTCTCAAGCGCTGTATGATGCATGAGGCCAGAAATGTGACCATTGCCTCGCCCAAGCAGAGTCTCGTGTGTGGCCATTACCAAGTGTTTTCTGGCTCCAGGTTTAATTTTTTTCTAAGTATGGTTGCCAAGGGGTCCAGCAAATCTGAAGTGATTTTCTCCCTTTAATAGTCAGTGTTTGAGACTCCAGCCACACTGAAGTGCTGACACGCTGCTTTCTCCCCCAGCCCGGAGCACAGCCAGCCACCCGTGGCCACGTGTCACGGTCGCTGCTCACAGTGACCCGTGGGACAGAACGCACACTTGTCCCAGACGGGCGTCCTGGTTTCCCATGACAGTGTTCATTACCGAAATGGTGGCCTGTAGCTAGGGAGCAGAGTAAAGCTACCTCTGCTGCCTGGGAGTGGATGTGAAGGGCTGGCTTCCATCAGTTTTGTTCTCAGACTTTTACCATAAAAGTACAGAGAAGTGTAAAAAAAAACCATGATGAAGTATTCAAGTTTTATCTTGAGAAAATGTTCATAACTGACTCTTTAATCTGGGTTCCTTAGGAAATCACCGGCAAAGAAATCTCGTTTGTCTTGGGTCTCTGTGGTTAGCAGCGGGGGTGGTCTAGTTACGGTGGCAGCTTGGCAGCACAGCCTGAGAGGAATTGGCCTTATTAACAAGGTGGGCGTGTTGGCTCTGTAGTTGCTGGTCAGTGTCTTCTGGGGAAAGACATGGGATGCAGAGGGCAGTTGCCTGTGTGTTTTGTTTCCTGTGGACCCTTGTTGTTAGTAGCCTTTAATCCATTCAACCAGTGGAAGAAGGCGGCTCTGAACTTGCTGCTGATTTGGTGTTTGGGTGTTCTTGTGGTGACTGACCTCTATCTGGTGAGTATTCTTTGAAGACCTGTTGTTCCTGAATCCTTTTCTGGGGGTGACTGGTCAGAAAGAGGCCATTGAGTCTGTCCCTTTGTGTCATTTTTTTCTTTCTGTAACAGTTTTGTTTCTTTGT